GATAATGTGGGAATGTGGGAGGCAACCTGTAGTGCAATACAACACCACCAGATCTGCAACACTCACACAAGCTATAGAAGGCAGACGTCTACAAGCTCTCAAATAGAGTATTGCACACATTCAAATGGCAGTTGCCTGTACAGTTGATGAGCGTCAAATATCTCAAAATTCCCTCACACGTGCAATGCAGCATGTATACATACAAATGAAAATAAACACGCAAATGCATTAACCCGTATACATGTTGGATATATACCTACATGGGCCCCGTCGAGCATTTTATGGGTACACACGCGACGTCTGAGGATGCTGCGTGGGTCAAATGATAAATTTAAGTTCGAGCCCGATCCTTCTATGCGAGTAGATATGAGTCGGCACGGCTCGTACTAACAAATGATATGCGACCACGATATTGATGGAGATATTTGTTTTAATATGTTAATATTAGGCCTTCAAGATCTATAACAAGAAAATTCATTAATAAATGCATACAACTAGCAACAAACTTGATCCTTTGTCGGTGAGTAGACAAAGTCGACAAGGCTCAATCTATGAAATGAAAATGCCCATAAATATCCCGATGATGGCCGTGTTGACAAAAAATTTCCACTGGAGTGGGACGTTTTATTATTTAAAATACCTCCCACATTCCTACAGAGATACAAGTGATTTTCAAGTTACCCTGATGATGGCTGTGTTGAATGCTTATATCAACCGGCAGGGACTCTACACTTTCAAATAACTTCAAAATCCTATGAAAACTCAAAACTCCAAAAAAAATTTAAAACCTGAAATATTTAAAAATTGAAATTAGGGGTGTCAAAATTAGGTTGCGGGTCAAATTCGGGTTGAACTCAAAACGGACCTGACACTATTCGTATTGACTCGAAACCGTCCCATTTCTGCAAAGAGGTCAATTTTTCATACCCAAATTTAACCCGCTTCAGGTTCGGGTCAACTAGATCCGACCCGTAATGCAATGTCGCGACAGTGGTTTCCGAAGAGATGCGCGGGCGGGTGAGTGGTGACGCTGGCAGACGCGCTGGCAGGCAACGATGTGACGCGAGCAAGTGAAGCTGGCAGACTCGTGGGCAGGTGACTCGGGCTGGCATGGGTGATGCGGGCAGGCCCAGTCAATTGCTGGATTCCAGGTTATTAAACCCAAACCCGACCCGATTTTTGAAACTGGTCGGTTTGTTAAACCCAAACCCAACCCGTTTCACAAACTGTTTTAACCCAAGCCGAAATTTTTGGGTCTGATTTGAGTCGGGTTTTCTGATCGTGTCAAATATTGACACCCCTAATTGAAATCAACCATCAAAATGCTTTAAGCAGAACCATCCATCCTTCGCAATAATTTGCCAAGGTGGACATATTTGAAAATTACTGCAACTCACAAAGAGCTAATGCTTGGTTGAGAATATCACTGATATTCATTCTCAAACAGTCTCTTGCCAGTAAGGGCGTACCACTGGTCCTATGATTGGTGGTTTTGCTGGACGGCTCCGCTAATTACCCGTGGTTTGGACGGATGGCTCCGCGTGGTTAATAATTACGATCGCGACCCTTTGACCTAGTGGCTTAATCCAATGACTCCATTGTATTACGGTTATGGTCACAGTCTGTATATTCTTCAATGACGTCAGATCCTTGAGATATGAATCGATAGGATATAACTGATATGGCACAAAGCCCTTTGTTAGCTTAGCTGGATTTTGTTTTGTCCCCTTAGAAAAAATCCCCCCTCCCCTTCTTATAATTTACCTTTGGACAAAGTAACCCATGGCTGCCGATAAGGATCCTTCTGTCAGGTTGGGTCAACTACCATCTCTGACTAAGTAGACAAAGGACCATGACCCGAGACCAATGTTTAAAATTGCGTATTCGGGTATTGAGGCGTTTTTCATTCGTGAGGCGAGGCGTAAGCCTCAAGGCGTTTTGAGGCGTAAGCCTCAAAATCAAAAGATTGCGTAAACATAAAATAATAAATTTTTTATATACTAATGAGTGAATAATATAAAACATAAAAAAACATAAGATATGAAGTGAAATCAAAATATCCCAATAATAAGATAACATGAAATATAGTTCAACTCAAAATTCTATCTTTCCTAAATCACAGTATTCTTTTCATTAACATATAATTCCAATTTCCAAAAACAAATAGCAATGACATATCACATAAGAACTCATAAGTCATCAACGCTGTCATCACTAAGGGGTTCTTTATTTGAATCATCATTATGATGAACTGCTCTCTCCCTTTCCTCCTCTCCTATAGAGGTCAATATCGTGCATTTACTTCAAGATTTATTTAAGTTTTAATATATATAGCGTGAGGTGTAAGCCTCATGCCACTGAGGCGAGGCGGGTCTCAATTCGGTCCTCAACCAAGTTGTGGCGCAAGCCTCATAAAAAAAACTCGAGGCGTAAGCATCGAGGCGTTTTTTACTGGAATTGCGCAAAGGCGGGCCTCAAGGCGAGCCTCATATTGCGCAATTTTAAACCATGCCCGAGACGACGAAACTATGAGATCTTGATCGTGTTCATTATCATTCCCCCCACCATCCACTTTAAGTGCAAGATGGTGAAATTTTTAATTTTAAATATTAAATTTTCAAATATCAACACATGTTGTTACTATGCACTAGATACTATGTATCTCTGCGTATTTGTTTGATGATTAGCCTTAATTGAAAGTTCTCTCTCGCTATTGGGATGAGTAATTAACTATAAGGGCTTGTGCCTATAGGAAACTTGAATCCATATCATAAAATCCTCGCAAAATGAGGGTAAAATCTCTGGGTAGTGTCTTATTTCAAACCCAATATGCATTCTGAAAATTACCTCGGAATTTAATTTGTTAAAACTTTCTCGCAAGCAGGAGAGGCCGAGGTTCGAATTTTTGGAGCCCGTAGATAAATTTCAAGGAAGTATTCTATATTATCAATTCATTCTAAAAATTTCTTAAATATGTCTCTTATCGAATGTAATAATGTAATTTTAATTCTCATATATAAAGCTATGCTCATCTGGAACTGTAACTTGCCTATTAAGATTGCATCATTTATTAAAATTTTAATTAACTAAATTAATTTGTCCAAGTTTTGGTTGACATGATAATGCAACCACGAACCCTAATACCAAATTTATGCGGGACATCTTAAGAGTTTAGGATTTTTAATGCAACTAGTATAATGCAATGAATGTTGAACATGCAAAAATAAATAATGATTCATATATCAAAGACCACCAAATACACATAAATGCTCCTTCTTTTATTATAAACCTAAAAATATGAGAAATTGAATTAAAAGGATAATGTTATTATCATATAACTCTGAAGAAATTAACATTAATTTCAAAATGTAAAAAATGATCAAGTAATTGAATTCTTACATTGCAATTGAATTCATTGTAGCATATTTAACTAAATTTGAATTCTAGCAATATTAATAATAGAATATTTAAGAAGTAAAAGAAAAGGACATAGACCTCCAAAGTGAAAATTTGATTGTAATTTCCCCTGAGGTTGTTTCTCACACTTGTATCATATCAGAAAAAACTTTATTTCCAATGGTCATAGACATAAGTGAGAATAAGAATATCTTATTTCATTAATCAGAAGCTAATAAGCATACATGCCTCAGATTTTTCATTTATATATTTTTCATTCAATTTTTTTCCTGAATCGGAATATGTGGCCAAACTTAAATTTAGATGGTTCAACTATAGTGATCATTTGAATTTTGTGGCTAAGCACATCCAAAAGTAGAACATAGCTATAGATAAGCCAATTCCAAATTTCCTATGACACCTAAGTAGCAATTCTTGTACATTTGTAAGTAGCAGCTCTCACAATCTTCAATTAGTGGCATCTAGGGGTGTAATTGAACCAAGCCGATTGATGACCTGTCTCAGGGTCAGCATAATAAATTACTTGTGAGTTGCTTGATGATCAAGTTTGAGGTAGCCCTAACTTGACTCATTTGCCCTTGAATCAGCTTGTTTAAAAAAAATTTATAATATAAAATATAATTTAATATATTATAATTCAGTTGTTTAAATATAAAATTTTTTAAAACATTAAAATTGTATCTTATTTCCTTATATCAAGTGATTTCTTATTATATCTCTCATGATTGCTTATTGTTTGTAATTTTTATTAGAGATGCTTGAATTAAAATCATTTTCTTCTCTTTCATGAATCAACTCAAAGTCTCAAACTCAGAATTAAGTTCAAGCTCGAGCTTGAACTTGTTTAATTTGTCAAACTCAATCTTAAGCTCAAGCCGAGTGATTGCAAAGCCTGAACAAACCTATTGTAGGAGAATTCTACACCTTCAACAGATAACACAAATGATAATTCTAAACATCTAATTCCATAGCACAGATAATTCCAAAGCTTCTCAAATGATTCCGAAACCTGCTACACGAAATCACCACCTATTGCTTGAGATCCTACGGACTGAAGTATGTTAAAAGAAACTCCAACATGAAACATGTTACCCAAAGTCTAATTAGCAGGTAAATCCTAGAGCAATTAATATATAGGCTTGCAAGTGACAACTGCAGTTGTCTTGAGCAAACCATTTAAGCTGACTAGATCAGAACTGGACCAAATCGGGAACATCAATAGAGAACACATCCCATTCTTATAAGTCACAAGACATTTAAAAGGGGTAAAACTAAAGGTAATATGAATAGAAGTTGTGAAAAAGGATTTCAGCAAAATAAGTTAAACATATTATGAGACACTCAGTAGGAATGTAAAATAATACACTTTATGTATTGGCTTTTGTTCCGTACTATGCTCTAGCTTACCAATTTGGCATTTTTATTTTAAAGTTTTTGTACTTAAGGCTCTCATCTGCTTTTCAGCTCAATTTGTTCTATAGCAGTGGTTTGCCATCAAATTGTCATGCCCTTTTCTCATAATAACATTAAGATTATTTTGTGAAGCTCTAAATTTAATGATTATTTTCTTATTTAATTCACAGATCTTCCTCCTGACAAGGAGCCTCTTGACTGGAATACGAGGATGAAAATTGCAGCTGGTGCAGCCAATGGATTGGATTATCTCCACAATGTGGCTAGTCCACCTGTGATTTATAGGGATTTGAAATCAGCTAACATATTATTGGATGCAGATTTCCAGCCAAAGTTATCTGATTTTGGTCTTGCAAAGCTTGGCCCAACGGATGATAAGTCCCATGTCTCCACTAGGGTCATGGGAACCTATGGATATTGCGCCCCAGAATATGCTATGACTGGGCAGTTAACGGTTAAATCCGATGTGTTTAGCTTTGGGGTTGTACTATTGGAGCTGATAACTGGACGACGAGCCTTTGATAGCACAAGAGCTCATGGAGAACAAAATCTTATATTATGGGTGAGTTTGAAATTTTTTATTTTTTACTGCATCCTTGATGTTGGATGAGCATATTATATCTTTCTATGCTAATTATTTTCTCGTCATTTGTTATATTTTGCAAATTTTATGGCTTATCATTATTATTTCCTAAGACTTCTTATAATTGTGACTTTTTGATGGATTTGCTTTATAGCAAGATAACATTTTATGCATAACATAGTGAATAAAGTTCTAATGTGGATGATTTTAGTGAGATCTATGAAAAAAAGACAATTTCTAATTATTCCTCACACTGTTATAAATAGATGCATTCCAACTCTTTTCATGCAAAAATAAGATCTTTTGAGACCTTTCCATCTTTTCGTAACAATAGAAGGGGTTAGAAAATCACTACTACTGATTGCTTCTATCTGATCTGCTTGTTGGGAAGCCAAAAAAGCTCCAAGTTTGTGTTTGATCATGTTTGGCTCAATAGTTAACTCGAGTTCTACTAGTTTTTATTAGCTTGCTTATTTAATGATCCAAACATGAATAATGCTTTATTCCATCGTGTTCAGCTTGATAGTAGCAAAAACCTAATATAAAATTTTGGCTCATTTATATAATGAGTTAAGCCGAACAACACTTGAGCTCTCTCCCTAAATTTAGCTCATTTACTACCCTACTTTATGGCCTTTGTGAGTACATTGAAATGGATAAGCAATTTTCACTTTACCCCATCACTATCTTGGTGCTTGCAGGTCAAGCCCTTGTTCAATGACCGGAGGCGGATCTCTAAGCTTGCCGACCCAACGCTACAGGGACGGTATCCTATGCGAGGGCTCTACCAAGCTCTTGCTGTGGCATCGATGTGTATTCAAGAGCATCCTGCCGCCCGCCCTTCAGTCACAGACATTGTGACTGCACTCTCCTACCTTGCATCCCATCCATATGACCCTAGTCTTCAAGGAGGTGAAGTTGAAAATGGTAGAAGACAGGAAGCAGAGAGGATCAAAACATACCTGGATGATCAGAAAGTGCCTCCCAATGAGAGAGATGACTCCCCGAAGGATAAAGGTACTTTCCTTAACCAAAATTTTGACAGGGAGAGAGCAGTAGCAGAGGCTAAGATGTGGGGAGCAAATTGGAGGGAGAAGAGACTGGCTACCGTTGATCCTGGTCTCACAAATTCAAATAGCTAAGGTTCTGCTCCCTTTATTCTGTTCTGTTTTTGCCTAGCAAGTGGATTAAGTTTAGTTTATAATGTCAGAGGGAAGAACTATGGTGGGGTGTTCTAGAATTTAAATTGTGTAAATGTTTTAATGATTGTTTGTTGTTATTATTTTATTTTTCTATTGTAGAGGTTTAAATCTCTGATCCGTTTTTATAAAAATAAGTTGCTAGGTTCTATTTGGTTTGCCCAATTGAAGTTGGTGGCTTATTTGGTTGGCTTGATTGAACCCATTTGCCATTGCAAGATCAAATTTCAATTATTAAATATTTTTTTAACGATTATATGAGTTTAGCTGGTAATTCTATCCAAATAAGATATTAATCCGAAAGACTTAGACTTTCTTAATTAACTCATAGCAGGGTAAAGTTGTAAGCACCACTTTTTTTTTTAGTTTAAGTTAGAGTTACTTCTCTTTAATTCTTACTTTAGTTATAGGCTCTTTAATTCTAAATTATGTTTTAGGGATTGAGACTGATTTCTTAAATCATAAATCTTGACTACTTAGGCATTTTCTCAATCTTGTGATTAAAAAAAAATATAAGTTTTAAATTTATGATAAAATGACAACCCAAATCATTAAAGCCCAACATTGAATACATTGGAGTATTTTTTAACTTCATAAAATCTAGCACTCCCTTTCTTCCTTTGGCATCTAGAAAGAATTATTTTTCATTTTGAGCCAATCCTATTTAAAAATTCTAGAATGACATCCTTGTCTTAAATTTTGAAATCTCAAAAATATTTATCACTAATTGAATCAGGAGTTTTCCCAAGATATTCATCTCTCTTGGTATGTAATTAACCATAAATGCGTACCTTTATGATAAACCTATACCCAATAATAATAATAATAATAATAATAATAATAAACTCTATTTTCTTATACCATTTCTACCTATTGAGATAATATATACTATTCTCAATGTAAATTTGATTACAAAAATAGAAATTTTCAAACCAAAATTTCTCATAATATTGACCCAAATCTTTTATATTAAATATAATTGATATATCAACTCAAAGATTTATAACTTCATTTTTATCCTTCATGTTCTTATCATATCATCAACATACAAGAGGATAATAGTATCTAAACCATTAATCTCCTTTAGAAAAATACTTGAGATGTAATCAAATGCAAAGTAGAAAAAAAAAAAATCATACAAGTTAATCTCTTGGTCTTATTTCGGCCTATAAAGAGATTTCTTAAGCTTGCACATAGTGGTAGAGCCAGAAATTTTATTTAGGGTGGGCCTAAATTTGTTTGCTGTCTCATTATCAGAGCAAAGAGGAGCTATAAGATAAAAATTAAAAATGTAAATAACATGACAATAAGAGCTTATAAGACATAAATATATGCCATGGGCAGTCTCTATTTGGGGGCGAGAGAAGAGCGAAAGAAAAATGAAAGCTGTTCTTGAGGCCGTGAGTTGCGAGAGAGGAGCAAAGGGAAATACAAAGTAGACCATTTGGTTGAGGGAAAGAAAGCCGGTGGAGGTTGCGAGTCGCGAGAAAGGAGCGTGCCTCCCCCTAATATTAAATTATATATATATAAGGCTCCTGCAATTGTTCAATTGCGCTAGAGTTTTTTTTTCCATATGGTATTCTTTGTAATGACATTGAATTTCAAAATTAAAACCATGGCTTAGTAGATGCTCAAATGACAATGTGTTCAACAAATACTTCAATAAAGATTAATTAATACAACAAACAACATTAAGATAGTGAAGAAATGAAAGCCATATTAAAAAATAATAGCAATATATTAAAGAATCTGTTAATCATGAAAACAGACCTGCTTAGCATATGAATTTGATAAGGGGCACATATTTGAGGTCACTGGGATAAAATGTGCATTGATGAAAAGGCTTATTTTTGGCACGGTAAATGATACAGATAAGAGTAAAGAGAAGAAACATTTGCAGCCAAATGAATACAAAAATGCGATAATATAAAGGTGAGCAAAAAAGAAAAAAATTATAATATATTTTATCAAAAATATCTAAAGGCACTGAGATGTTTTTAAAGCCATATTCCCATCTCATTTTTGGCAAACAGAGAGTTGTTAAGGAAATTTGAGAGAATTTCGAGGAGAGAGAAAAAGAGATTTGCGACTTGGAGGATTTGGAGCGTTTTTCGTTCATCGACGCAGTTGGGATAATTGCTCGACTCGCTGTAAGGAATCCATATCTTATTTCTGATTTCAAAGATTTTGTGTTTTTGATATTTTTCTGCTAAAATTTGTATTTCCGTTATCGAAAAACATGAATAACTTTGTATTGGCAAAACTTTCGCCATGTAACTTTTTGTATATTATAGAGATCATGATTATGAGCATTTTGAGTATTTATTTGAGATTTTTCACTGGGTGATTTTGAAAATACATTGATTTTTGTCTACGCTAAAATTTATTTTGACATCTAAAAATAGTAGTGTAGTAGAATAAAAATATTAAAATATCATTTTATGCAATCCCTGATAATTTGATAATTTTTTGAAAATGTGCATTTTTGCCTAATAGGATTATTTATTATTTAAAGTTATGACATTTTAGCATCTTTTTAATTAAGCTCAATTATATATTATTTGCTGCAATGCATTGAATATGGATGTGGATATTTGCTTGAGTAATAGCTGGTCGCTATTACTGCTATAGTATTGTGATAACAATATGCTTATGTGAAACAAAGAAATAAAGACTGGTTGACCCATTGGTTAGAGACTAATTGACCTATACAGGATGGTGGGCCGACATGCTTTCTTTTAAATAATGCGATTTGATTTTATTATATACTAATTCATGTGATACACTAATTGGGAGTTATAAGAAGATCATTAGTTTGCTGACGGGCAAGAAGTGATGACTCTATTTACTGAGCCAACAGTTTACTAACACTAAAAAATACCGTAATAGTCAGGACTTCTACTTGTTTAGTGTGACTACTGAAATACATATTTTGAGACATTATTCATATTATTGTATGAATTTTTATTAATGCACAAATTTACTGTTATTGTATTACTCTACTGCTCATACCACCGGATTATTACTATTACTGATATATAAACTAATACTATTTGATACTACTGATTCACTATACTGATATTAAGTATGTGATACATTAAACACGTAATATATAATGCATGGATGACATGTGTGCATTATGATATAATTTTACTACATTAATTTGATTTCAACAGTCATTAACGATGTTTTGATTAGATGCTTTATACAATTTTTATACTGATTTATATTATGGATACGAAGATTTCTTTGGAGATCTGATACTCGTACTGATTTACTACTTTATGTTCTTTTATACTATTTATATATTTTACTACTACTGCTTGTGGGTTTTATTGTTTTTGCATTGATTCAATAATCATATGGATGCAACTGCTATGATTTGATTGTTAACATGCATATTGCTCCTTTACCGTACTTTGAGTTCAATTGTAGGTTTTGATGACCTGCTGGATTTTTTAAGCTCATTATATGTGGTTAACTGATTTCAGGTTAAGACAGAGTAATAGGAGTATGAGACTATTTAGGATTCTTCAAGTTTTATTTTTTTTTATATTCATGAGTAGTGCATATGATTTTTATAAATGAATACAGATGTATACATTGATGTTTTAAATTATAGAATATGTTGTATTATTTATTACTGATAGATGACATTATATAACTCTAGTTGTTGATTATTTAAAGGATAAAAGAATAATTCTTTCAATTTAGATTTTGGGGACATCATAATTGGTATCAGAGCTTAGTTATTGGAAGAATTGATTATTACCAGAGCAATAGAATTTGATTGAGAGTTGGATAGATTGGGTAGATTAAGGTGCATTAGTTTGCATACATAATTGAATAACATGTGATAGAATGAATTACATGATTGTATGATTTTGATGAGTTTTGATTTGATTTGAGTTTTGATTGTATGGATTTGATTTATATCGATTTTATGCCTGAATCCTTAAGAAAAGTGTTAGGGACGATATTTTCTTAAGGTGGGTATAATTGTAATATCATGTATTTTAATTTTGGTAATTTTTTCTCTGGAGTCATTATAACTCCAAATCATAATCCGTCTTCTCCATGGTATTTTGATTGAAGTACTTTACTACCATAAATTTTTTCGTAATTTTTAGACTCTGGTGAAAATTCTTAAGTAATTTGTGCATATTGGTACAAGTGAGAATTTCGGGACCGTCAGGTGTCTGATTTGTAAACCGATTTCATCGATATTTCTTAAATATTATGATTTATTATATAAATATTTTTTTTAATAAATTTCTGAATCCTAAAATGACTTATTTAAATTTTATACTGAAGAAAGTGATTAAATTATATTATTCTATTAAATAATTATATTATATTTTATCAAAAATATCTAAAGGCACTGAGACCTTTTTAAAGCCATATTCCCATCTCATTTTCGGCAAACAGAGAGTTGTTAAGGAAATTTGAGAGAATTTAGAGGAGGGAGAAAAAGAGATTTGTGATTTGGAGGTCGCGGAGCGGTTTTTGTCCATCGATGTAGTTGGGCTAATTGCTCGACTCACTATAAGGAACCCATATCCTATTTTTGATTTTAAAGATTTTATATTTTTGATATTTTTCCGCTCAAATTTGTGTTTCCGTTACCGAAAAACGTGAATAAATTTGTATTGATAAAATTTTTGCCTAGTAACTTTTTGTATGTTATAGAGATCATGATTATGAGCATTTTGAGTATTTATTTGAGATTTTTTATCAGGTGATTTTAAAAATGCATCGAATTTTTTCTACTTGAAAATTTATTTTTGTCTCTAAAAATAGTAGTGTAGTAGAATAAAAGTCTTAAAATATTATTTTATACAATCCCTGGTAATTTGATAATTTTATAAAAATGTGCATTTTTTCCTAATAGGATTTTTTATTGTCTACCATTATAACATTTTGACATCTTTTTAATTAAGCTCAATTATACATTATTTGCTGCAATACATTGAATATGGATGTGGATATGTGCTTGAGTAATACCTGACCGCTATTACTGCTATAGTATTGTGATAATAATATGCTTATGTGAAATAAATAAGTAAAGACTAGTCGACCCGTTGGTTGGAGACTAATTGACCTGTATAGGATGGTGGGTTGACGAGCTTTCCTTTAAATAATGTGGTTTGG